AGTATTGTTATTGGGCTTTTTTATCTTTGAAAATAAAATTTCCCATTTTTGATTTTTACTATTTTAGCTGAAAATTTTAGGTCACTTTACCATCATGAAACTTTAGAGGCCTTTAGCCATTATTTTTTATTTTTTAAGATTTATTTATTTGAGAGAGAGAGAGAGTGCTCATGGTGTGAATGGTCGGGAGGGCCAACGAGGGAGGGAGACACGCAGATTGCTCACCAAGCATGGAACCAGATCATGAGCTTGATCCAAGGTTAGGGAGATCATGACCTGAACCAAAATAAAAAACTGGCCTAGCCTCTTAATTGACTGATCCACCCGGTCGTCCTAAACATTAGTTTTATATTTGTGGTTTAAATTCTGTGAATAGTTTTCTAGTTCTACAAAGAGATTCTAGTTTTAAGGAAGTCTTTTCACCATATATAATAGTGTTCCTGACATTAGAGTTAAACATTGTTCTTCTTCGTAAACTACTTTTTCCTTTATTTGATGTAGAGATGCAGTTTGTGTCAAAAAATTGGCAGAAAATGTTCCATTCCCCTTTTTTCTCTCTTTTTTTTTGTCAGGAAGTTCTCACTTTGTCCTTAAAATAAATTCTATCTGTGGAGTCTTATTTTATTTTTTAAAAATATTTTATTTGTTTATTCATGAGAGACACAGGCAGAGGGAGGAGAAACAGGCTCCCTGCAAGGAGCCCAATGTGCTACTCGATGCCAGGAATCCGGGATCAGGCCTTGAGCCAAAGGCGGGCACTCAACCACTGAGCCACCCAGGGATCCTGATCTGTGGGCTTTTGAAAACAACCAGTAACCTAGCTTTGTTATTCCCTCCAGAAACACTTTTAAAGAGAGTGGAAATAGTAGTGTATAAATTGAATTTGAATATCAGGGTTCTGAAGCTGTATTTTTAAAGATAAAATTTAAGAAAATATTTGGTTGACTTAGGTTTTGTTATATTCTAGAGTGCATATTAGAATGTTACATTGATTTTTTTCCTTTTTTTTTTGCCATATTGATTTTGATACCTAAAGTCTTTTGCTTTCTTTTTAAGGATATAAATCGTACTTAGAACTGTACAAATACCAAAACAAACTTAGTAAAAATCTGCATTGGTTTTATAGCAGGTTTATTAATAATTATGTTACCCTCTTTTGTGAGAAAGACTACAGTAATGAAAACCATGTTTCACCTTGTATATACATTGAATGAGATCTCCAGATGCTGATGTTAAGAGTGTATCAACAGGAAAAGTTGAAAATGTGAGCTGTGTGGAAAAATACTAGAACACTGTAGAACTCAAAAAACATGACCAAGTATAGGGGAAAAAGATTTTGACTATGAACTGACTTTAGGTCATTTAATAATGGAAAGAAACTTCAAGATTGCATTTTTGAAGACTATTTTTAGGGTTTTGATAATTGCAGAAAATGCTTTGAAATTGGCACATCTTGGTCAGTGTTTGAAAACTCAGGTTACTTTTGTTTTTCTAACAATTTATTATAATTTTCAGACAGAAAAGTTGAGAAAATTATACTATGAATAGGTATCACTACCTGGATTCTACTATTGACATTTTGCTGTATTTGCTTTATTCCATAACTGCCTATGTATTCATTTTTCTTTCTGTTATTCCATCTTATTCTTTTGTATATTTCAATGTAAGTTGTACACAGTCTAGTACCTTCAGTCTGGAACACTTCATGCATATTTATTAACTCGAGTTCAGTATGGTTCGTATTTTGAGATAAAATTACATGTGTGAAATGCACAGATCTTAAGTGTACCATTTGGTAAGTTTTGGGAAATGCATACACTTGTGTAACTAAGACTCTTAAGATAATATTGTCCTTGCTCTAGAAAGTTCTCTCATGCCCTATCCAAGTCAAGTCCTACTCTTACTCCCACCCTTCAAGGTGATTACTCTTAGGATATTTTTTTACTATAGATTAATTTAACTTGTTCTAGAATGTCATATAGATGACATATAGATGGATTCATTAAGAATGCACTCTTTTTGGGTAAAAGCTTCTTTCACTTAGCATACTTTTTTGAGATTCATCTGTGTTAACAGTATTCATTTTCATTAGATATACTTTGACTTATTTATCCATTCACCTGTTGATGGAGATTTGGACTCTGACCAGTTTGGAGCTATTAAGTAATAAAACTACTATGACAAAGCTTGTACAAGTGTTTTGTGAACACATACTTTTTTGGTTTGTAAATATCTAGGAATGGAATTACTACTGGGTCATAGGGTAAAAATAATGTTTAGTTTTTTCTGAAACTGCCAGACAGTTTTCCAAAGTGTTTGCACTATTTTATACTCCCACCAAAATGTGTGAGTGTTCTGGCCATCTACACCAACATCTGGTATTGTCAGTTTTTTAAATTTTAACTGTTCTGGTGGATATATAATGGTGTTTCATTATGCTTATTTTAATGTGTACCTGACTCCCATCCAAGTACCAATGTAACCCAACCCTGCTTAGCATCCAGTATCGCAGGTGACTGGACATGTTCAGGGTGGTATTGCTGTGGATTAATGTCTACTTATCTAATGACTTATGATGTTGAGACCTTTTTATATGCTCATTAACCATATATATCTTCCTTTGTGTATGTGTTTAAGCCCTTTGCCCATTTTAAAATTTTAATATTTGTCATATAATTGAAAGAGATCTTTATATATCGTGGATACCAGTCTTTTGTCAGATATATTTTATGAATATTTTCTTCTAGTTTTGGCTAGCCTATTCATTTTTAAAATGATATAGTTAGTGTAGAAATTCTTCATTTTACTTTATCAGTAGTTTTATTGCTTACTGTGTCTTACCTAAGAAACCTTTGTCTACCCTAGTGTCAGATTTCTAATGTGTATTTATTACTTATAAGTTGGTGAATCCAATAAAAAATAATTACTTCAGTCTTAAAACTTTTATCCAGGGACAACTGGGTGTCTCAGTGATTGGGCACCTGCCTTCGACTTGGGTCGTGATCAGGGATCGAGTCCTGCACCAGGCTCCCTGCGAGGAGCCTGCTTCTCCTTCTGCCTATGTCTCTGCCTCTCTCTCTCTCTCTCTCTCTCTCTCTCTCTCTCTCTCTCTCTGTGTGTGTGTGTGTCTCATGAATAAATAAATCTTTTTAAAAAAACCTTTTATTCAGTATTCAGAATCTCTTATTTATGAACTTAGGGTGGTTTAAAATCTAAATATCTCAACAAAAATTATAAAGACAGTTTTATTTTTTTTAACAACCCAGGATGTTTTCTAGTTTTATTGAGTGTTCTCTTTAGAGGATGGGAAGGAATGGTAGAAGTGTATTCTCAGGCAAGGGAGAAGAGGATATACATTTCTATGGAAAAGACCACTAGTTCTATCATGCCTTTCTCTTCACACCCCCCTCTTCTCTTTACTGGCCGTTGCTCACCTTCTCCTTCCACTGTTCTCTCTGACCCAAGGGATCACATCTTCCAGGTCTCCTGATCCAACATGTGAGCAAGGATGGCCATCTAGAATTGCCAATATAGCTGAAATTCAATCTAAATTTTAAAGCCCATTAGAGATTCTGGGTGGTATATGAATTTGCATTATCTCTGAGAGAACTATCAGATTACAAGTAAAGAAGTGATATGTATTAATAGACCTATTTTCACAGATGTTCAATTTAGCCATTTTCTCTCTTAGAGCAGAAACAGTGATTATACGTAAAATACTTGAGCCCAAAATCTGACTGTTCTGCAGGCTTATGTCAACATTTGATTGAGGAGAAATATATCGGAATATTGAGGGGATCTCCAGTAGCATTATGGATGTGTAATTTTGGATATTAAAGGTTTTAGTTTTCATCTCATTTATTTTTGTTTTTATTTTTTAAAGATTTTACTCATTTATTTGACACAGAGCACAAGAAGGCAGCTTGGCAGGCAGAGGGAAATTGAGAAGCAGGCTCCCCACTGAGCAGAGAGCCCGACATGAGATGATTCCAGGACCCCGGGATCATGATCTGAACTAAAAGCAGGCACTTAACTGACTGAGCCACCCAGTACCCCAGTTTTTGTCTCATTTTAAAAAGAGCTTTTAGAGATTTTTATTTCATTAGAGAAAGATACAGAGAAGCAAAAATGAGAACGAAAACAACGCCAAGAATCTGTCCCACTCCAGAACCAGAATGGATGTTGTAGGTGGGACTGAGTGTACTTTGGGATCATTATTATAAATAATCAATAAACCTGAAGAGTTTTGCAAGAACTGGAAAGCCCAATAAGTAGTACAGAATTAGAGAATTCTGCTCTCCACAAATCTACCTAAGGAAGTTAATCAGAAGTCCAGTGTCTACCAGGTTTACCCCATTCTAATTAGAAGACCTCTAGGATCTCTAAAACAGAACGATGATCTTCACAGGGCTGTGGAATAAAGAATAATAGTTCACCTAGTTATCAGCTGGAATATTGTTCTTGCTTTACTTATCACAAAAGTGAGTGTGTCCCAGGGTCTACTTTTATTTTTGGCCCTGAAGGCTAAAAATAACACAGAGCCACTAGCTCTAGAGTAGCCAGTTGTGTGTGTGGCTCTATATGTTGGTTTGGGTTATGGAGTTCAAGGTGGTGGTGATCGTGGATGTTTAGTTGTTTATAGAAAACTTAGCAGTTTTTTCCATTGGCTTTCCTTGAGCTCGTACCAAGGTTTTCTCCTCATCCATTTTTTTTAAACCCAGGAGTTAAGTTTGTTCATGTTCCATCCTCAATGCCCATATGACACTGTTTACAACCATTTGATCAGTGGAGAAAACTCTAAGGCCAAAGAGATTTTTAACTCCTTATACAATGAAAAGTTACTTTTGGGATCTGAGAGGCCCACATTTATTTCAGCCTAATATTTCCAAAATCCGAATTATGTTTGAACTTTGTGGTAACAGTATTGAGATGATTTGAAGGGTCCAGGGTGGTTTGCTGATGGAGATCAGTGACTTTACTCTTCTTTTTTATTGTTACAGAAGAAGCTACTATGGAGGAAACTGGGCCAGTTTTAGCTTTTCAGGAATACTATCCTGGCTAAAGGAATACCAGGTAAACTTATTTCATTTTTAATCTACTAGGTTGTATTTTGTATTCTGTAATAACCCTACATTGAAGAAAACTATAAGCTTCTGTAATATTAATGCCTATTTTTATTTAACAAAAATTATGCAGTCACCATTTTAGTTAATGTTCTTCCAATGCCTTCAAAATATAGAGATCACTTTTTAAATATACATAGATATGTGGGCTGAAAAGTACTATATATACTTGATTCCATTTTGTCATTACATTCCCAAATACAAGGCAAGATTTTTTTCTCCAAAATAGTCTTTCAGAAAAAAAAATTTCAGTCCTTATAAAATCTAATATATTACCTGTTGTTCTTTCAGTAGTATATTTAAAATTTTTTTTGAGAGAAAATACATTAATTTGAAATGATCTGAGTGATTGGTAGTTTTGCATATTCATAGAAGTCACCTGACACAATCAGATGACAAAGAAAAATTTAAGGTAAATTTAGTAATTTTTTTCCTAAGGTGGACCTCACTATTATACCTATTGGATATCACTGAAATTTTTTTTTTGTATTTTTTTTATCAGAGTTCGATTTGCCAACAAATGGTATAACACCCAGTGCTTGTCCCAACAAGTGCCCCCTTCAGTGCTCATCACTCAGTCACCCCAACCCCCAACTACCTCCCTTTCCACTGACCCTTGTTTCTTTTCCAGAGTTAGAAGTCTCTCATGTTCTATCACCCTCACTTATACATCCCACTAATTTTATCTCCTTTCCCATTTATTCACTTTCACTTTTTTTTTATATTCCCCAAATGAATGAGACCATATAATGTTTTTCTTTCTCCAATTGACTTTTACTTCACTCAGCATAGTACTTCCAGTTCTATCCACATCAATGCAAATGGTGGGTATTTGTCATTTCTAATGGCTGAGTCATATTCAATTGTATGTAAATACCACAGCCTCTTTATGCATTCATCTTTCCATGGACACCTAGGCTCCCTCCACAGTTTAGCTATTGTGGACATTGCTGCTGTAGCAGGTATCTCAGCTTTTCACTATATCTGTATCCTTGAGGTAAATCCCCAGCAGTGAAATTGCTGGGTCTTAGGACAGGTCTATTTTTAACTCTTTGAGGAACTTCCACACAGTTTTCCAGAGTGGCAGGACCAATTCACATTCCCACCAACAGTGCAAGAGGGTTCCCCTTTCTCCACACCCTCTCCAAAATTTGTTGTTTCCTGTCTTTTAAATTTTCCACATTCTCACTGGGGTGAGGTGGTATCTCATTGTGGTTTTGATGTGTATTTCCCTGATGGCCAGTAATGCGGAGCATTTTCTCATGTGCTTCTGGCCATGTCTATGTCTTCTGCTGTGAAGTTTATGTTCATGTCTTCTGCCCATTTCATGATTGGATTGTTTGTTTCTTTGCTGCTGAGTTTAATAAGTTCTTTATAGATCTTGGATACTACCCCTTAATCTGATATTTCATTTGCAAATATCTTCTCTCATTCTGTAGGTTGTCTTTTAGTTTTGTTGACTCTTTTGATGTGCAGAAGCTTTGTATCTTGATGAAGTCCAAATAGTTCATTTTTGCTTTTGATTCCCTTGCCTTCATAGGTGTATCTTGCAGGAAGTTGCTGTGGCCAGGTTCAAAAAGGGTTTTGCCTGTGTTCTCCTCTAGGATTTTGATGGAATCATGTCTCACATTTGGATCCTTCATCCATTTTAAGTTTATCTTTATGTAGAATGGTCTAGGCTCATTGTTCTGCACGTGACTAATTTTCTCAGCACCATTTATCGAAGAGACTATCCTTTTTCCAGGAGGATAGTCTTTCCTGCTTTGTCGAATATTAGTTGCCCATAGACTTGAGGCCCATTTCTGGATTCTCTATTATTCTGTTCCATTGATCTATGTGTCTCTTTTTTTTGCCAGTACCATACTGTCCTGATGGTCACAGCTTTGTAGTAGAACTTGAAATCAGGCATTGTGATGCCCCCGGCTCTGGTTTACGTTTTAAATATTTCTCTGGCTATTAGGGGTCTTTTCTGATTCCACACATATTTTAAGATGATTTGTTCCAATTCCCTGAAGAAAGTCCATGGGATTTTGATAGGGATTGCATTAAATGTGTAAATTGCTCTGGGTAGTATTGAAATTTTCACAATATTAATCCTTCCAATCCATGAGCATGGAATATTTTTCCATCTCTTTGTGTCTTCCTCAATTTTTTTCAGAAGTCTTCCGTAGTTTTTAGAGTATAGATCCTTTACCTCTTTGGTTAGGTTTATTCCTAGGTATCTTATGCTTTTGGGTGCAATTGTAAATGGGATTGACTCCTTCATTTCTCTTTCTTAAGTTTCATTCTTAGTGTATAGAAATGCCACTGATTTCTGGGCATTGCTTTTGTATCCTGCCACACTGCCAAATTGCTGTATGAGTTCTAGCAATCTTGGGGTGGAGGCTTTTGGGTTTTCTATGTAGAGTATCATGTCATCTGCAAAGAGGAAGAGTTTGAGTTCTTCTTTGCCAATTTGAATGCCTTTTATTTCTTTCTGTTGCCTGATGGCTGAGGCTAGGACTTCTAGTACTATGTTGAATAGCAGTGGTGAGAGTGGACATCCCTGTTGTGTTCCTGATCTTAGGGGGAAGCCTCCCAGTGTTTCCCCATGGAGAATGATATTTGCTGTGGGCTTTTCGTAGATGGCTTTTAAGATGTTGAGGAATGTTCCCTCTATCCCTACACTCTGAAGAGTTTTGATCAGGAATGGATGCTGCATTTTGTCAAATGCTTTCTCTGCATCTGTTGAGAGGATCATATGGTTCTTGTTTTTTCTCGTTGATATGATCTATCACATTGATTGTTTTACGAATGTTGAACCAGCCTTGTGTCCCGGGGATAAATCCCCCTTGGTCATGGTGAATAATTTTCTTAATGTACTATTCGATCCTATTGGCTAGTATCTTGTTGAGAATTTTTGCATCCATGTTCATCAGGGATATTGGTCTATAATTCTCCTTTTTGGTGGGGTCTTTGGTTTTGGAATTAAGGTGATGCTGGCCTCATAGAATGAGATTGGAAGTATTCCATCCCTTTCTATCTTTTGGAACAGCTTTAGTAGAATAGGTATGGTTTCTTCTTTAAACATTTGATAGAATTTCCCAGGGAAGCCACCTGGCCCTGGACTCTTGTGTCTTGGGAGGTTTTTGATGACTGCTTCAATTTCCTCCCTGGTGATTGGACTGTTCAGGTTTTCTATTTTTCCTGTTCCAGTTTTGGTAGTTTCTGGTTTTCCAGAAAATTTTCCATTTTTTCTAGATTGCCTAATTTATTGGCATATAGCAGCTCATAATATCTTTTTAAAATCTTTTGTATTTCATTGGTGTTGGTGGTGATCTTTCTTTTTTCATTCCTGATTTTATTAATTTGAGTCTTTGCTTTCTTCTTTTTAATAAGGCTGGCTAATGGTTTATCTATCTTATTAATTCTTTGAAAGAACCAACTCCTGGTTTTATTGATCTGTTCCACAGTTCTTCTGGTCTCTATTTCATTGTGTTCTGCTAGAATCTTTATTAATTGTCTTCTGCTTCGTATAGGTTTTTGCTGTTCTTTCTCCAGTTCCATTACATGCGAGGTTAGCTTAGGTTTTTGAGTTTTTTCCAGTTATTTGAGGGATGCTTGTATTGCAATGTATTTCCCTCTTAGGACTGCTTTTGCTGCATCCCAAAGATTTTGAACGGTTTTATCTTTATTCTCATTAGTTTCCATCAATCATTTTAATTCTTATCTCATTTCCTGGTTGACCCATTATCTTTTAGCAGGATGGTCTTTAATCTCCAGGTGTTTGAGTTTCTTCCAAATTTTGTCTTGTGGTTTAGTTCTAGTTTCAAAGCATTATAGTCTGAAAATATGCAGGGGAGAATCCCCATCTTTTGATATCAGTTGAGATCTGATATGTGACCCAGTATGTGGTCTCTTCTGGAGAAAAGTCCATGTGGACTTGAGAAGAATGTGTATTCAGTTGTGTTCGGATGCAGTGTTCTGTATATATCTGTGAAATCCATCTGTTCCACTGTATCATTTAAAGCCCTTTTGGCTTTTGTGGTGATGTACTTAGAAGATCTGTCATTTGCAGAAAATGCTGTGTTGAAGTCTCCCAGTATTAGTGTATTGTTATCTAAATATTTCTTAGCATTGGTTATTAATTGATTGATATACTTGGCAGCTCCCACGTTAGTGGCATGAATATTCATGATTCTTAGGTCTTCTTGTTGGATAGAACATTGAAGTATGATCTAGATAGTGTCCCTCTTCATCTCTCACTACACTCTTGGGGATAAATGTTAGTTTATCTGATATGAGGATTGCTACCCCTGCTTTCTTTTGAGAACCATTTGAATGGTAAATGGTTCTCCAACCTTTCATTTTCAGGCTGTAGGTGTCCTTCTGTCTAAAATGAGTGTCTTGTAGACAGCAAATAGATGGGTCCTGCTTTTTTATCCAGTCTGAAACCCTGCGTCTTTTGATGGGATCATTAAGCCCATTCATGTTCAGACATACTATTGTAAGATATGAATTTAGTGTCATCATGATACCTATTCAGTCCCTGTTTTTGTGGATTATTTCTTTGGGCTTCCTCTTTCTTTTATAGCGTCCCTCTTAATATTTCTTGCAGGGCTGGTTTGGTGGTCACATATTCTTTCACTTTCTGCGTATCTTGGAAGCTGTTTATCTCTCCATCTGTTCTGAATGAGAGCCTTGCTGGATAAAGTATTTTTGGCTGCAGGTTCTTCTCATTTAGGACCCTGAATATATCCTGCCAGCCCTTTCTGGCCTGCCAGGTCTCTCTGGAGAGGTCTGCTCTTAATCTAATATTTCTCCCCATATAAGTTAGGGATATCTTGTCTCTTGCTGCTTTAAGTTTTTCTCTTTATATTTGGAATTTGCAAGTTTCGAGGTGTTGAACTTTTTTTTTAAATGTCGAGGTGTTGAACTTTTTTTTGATTTTGGGGGTGTACCTCTGTCTCC